TTATCTTTTATCATTATAGCATATTTATATAGTTTTTATTTTTCAAAAATGAACTTTTTATCGTAGATTTCAAGTTCTTAAGTCTTTTATTAAATGTGATATAGTTCAAACTTAATAATTAAATATAACTATTTATATTTTTATAAATTAAATATATAAAATATATATTTTAAAATATTCTTTAATTATATATTAATATTATATTATATATCATACTTATATATTAATTATAATCTTTTCTAATTATATTAAAATGTACTATATTTTAATTATATTGTATAATTATATATTATATAATATAATTATATGTAATTATATAATTAAATTATATATAATATATGATATAATTTAATTATATAATTATATATTATAACATTATATATTATATATAATGAATATAAACAATTAAACTTATATGTGAAATATGTATTTAAAATAATATATAAGATATTAAATAAATATAAATGTAAATATATAATTAAATATTCCTTTTGGCTCATTTTCTTATTCTTCTATGGAATAAAAGCCATGTAGTATATTTTCTGTCTTAGAAGGGAATGTTTGTTTTACAATGATTCCATCTTTTTTTTTTGTTGTTTTCGACTTTTTTTTAGCTAAGAAGGAGGATATATTTTTCTTATTTTCTTTTTCTCTTTCTTTCCTTTTGTTTTCTTTTTCTTCTTTTACCACTCAATTCCTCCCACATCAGGCAGTTCTGCATTTTAAATGCTAACTTTCCATTCTGGCTGAGGAATTCCTTGTTACCAGATCTGCTATTTAAATCTAAAGTGTCTTTTGATTTCTTGAGAACGATGTTATAGAAATCCAGCCCTGCTTCAGTATCATCGAAGCCCATGTACACTTCCCTGATGAATTTCATGGCTTGACAAGCCTGCTGGGAAACTCACGCTAAGATTTTATTGAATTGGGTCCTCCTTATTCAGACACAAAAACTCCTCGAATACACTGATAAAAATAATGACCATTTTGTAGTTGTAAAACTTAAAACTACTCCTTGAATGTTAACTAATACCAAAAAAAAAGAAAAACCTTTCTGCAAACGAAATGGGATCATTGGAGCCAAGAGATTACCCTGTTACTCTGGATAAAGATCTAGAAATAACATTTCATTTCTCTTTTAGTAGTTGCAGAATCGAGAACTTGCCTTCCAATCCCGTGAAGCCATCACTCCCAACTCCTTTAAGAAAACAAGTCATGGAGATGATGACCAGGTTGACCAGCATTTTAGCAACAGCAGGCCTCTCTGTCCACCGAATCCTTCCAGAATGGCTCCCCACTCCCCAGAACTCATGGCTTCTACAATAATACTGTTATTTAGCCTAAGGGAAAATAAAAACTACAACCTCAGACTAATCGTTGAGAAATGCTGAACCTTGCAGTATTTGACATCTATTCCAGGTAAAACGACTCAGTTCCTTCATCTTGCTGATATTTCCTCACAAGTCAGGAAGCCTTTTATTCACAGCCAGTTTAATAGGCAACAGGAAATAGCCCTATTACATAAGTTTATTTATGCTGACACAAAAAAACCCATGAAAAACCCAAATTCTAAACTGTAATTTATTCCTGATAAGTAGTAAATCAGCAGGATCTCACTGCCCAAGGAGGGACTCGCCATTAAACAAGAACTGAAACCTAATGAGTCTCATAAATGTTCAGAGAGTTATGGAGCTGTTATTTATACATGAGCTCATTCAGCAACTCTCCTGCTGGTCTGCGCATGATAACCTAGTGTCCCCAAGATACTATAATACATACAAGAATAATAGTGGCCAAATTCTAGAGTTAAAGTTCAAGAAAAGGTTTTTTAAAATGTTATTTTCATCAGCTTGCCATGTAAGTCTAGTTACGGCTTCCAAGTTTTTCTGAACATCTAGGTTAATTTCTCAATGTCAAGACCTTTATTTCTGTTGTTGGTAATATTTTAGGTATAAAGGTGGTCATTGTTTAGATTACATTATATAAAATACAGTTAAATAGAATTTTTACTTTCTCCAGCTGAAACAGAAAGTGACTGACCCTATAAGAGATAGTATAAGACAAGATCATAGTTTTCTTATTATCAAAGTAAACTGCGGTACAATACAATTTATAAATCAAATATGGAGATGAGAAATGTTATGTTATGAGAAAAGTTTTGTAGACATGCCAGTGGCAGCCTTTCAGAATTGCTAGAGTGGATCATCATTTGACATGTTCAAAAATGGACTAAACAAAAGAAGACTTGAATTTTCACCCCAGAAACTCAATTTTCCTGCCATATAAACTACATTAACTCACATGAACTCAGTTGTATAAACTTTATCAGTACAAGACTGAAATAATTGAATGCAGATTGTCCTTAAGCAGAAAATCCATAATCCAAAGCTTTCTGAGCACCAAGATCGTGCCAAAAGTTAAAAATTCCACACCTGATCTTAGGTGACTAGTCAGGCAAAACATGGGTATGTAACATGATAACACACAATTTATTCCCAGACCCAGTCATAAAGAGATCACATGTACCCCATCTGCTGTGTTGTATCATTTTCACGTTGCCGGGATCCCTGGACATACAAACACTATTTGTGGGTACAAACAGCAGTGAGATAGAACATGATGAGCAGAATGTGCTAATGCTAATTGGATGTCAAAAATCAATGTGAAGCTTCTGTGTCACTAATTGTTTTTTGCCTATTTGCTTATTATTGAAAAATGTCAAATAAAAAGTCTACAGGTATACCTTAGGAGTAAAGGTAGTAAGAAAATGGGATGCATTCAAGTCTGTAACACAGAAAGCCAAGGTGTGAGAGAAACTGGGTAGCAGAGTAGGTGTGAAATATCTTACAAGAGACTATAGTATCGGAACCACTGAAATGTATGGCTTCAAGAAACAGAAGACTAAAATAGTGAAGCTTTATGACACCAATGATGAATAGGAGTTAATGAGAAATAGAAAAATACTCAATGAAACAAAAAATGAAGATTGCACTTGCAGTTAAAAGAACACATCCATCAACACGGAGTGAAAGTGCGCCATTCAGTGGAATCTTTACCATGCAACAAACAAGACCTATCAAGATGAGCTGAAACTCAAGGGAAACCAAGGATATTCAACAAGTTGGCTGCAGAAATGTAAGGAGAGATATAGATTAACTTTTTAAGTATTTGTGGCGATAAAGCATATGCTGATTGTGAAGCGCCAGATATATTCATTGATGAATTTTTCGAGGTGATTTCTACTGGAAATCTGAGGTCAGAAGACTGCAATACTGAAGACACATCACTCTTGGGGCATTACTCCAGCAGACAGATGCTGCCTCCATTGCTCAGAGAGTCATAGTGCTCACAGTGAAGGATGCAAGGTAGAACAATGGGGCTGGGATGTGCTGAGACAGCAGGCCCACATGCGTGTAAACTTGCTGTGGTAGACAAAAGCTGTGTCTTCACTGTCTTACAGGAATGCATTTCAAACCAGTCCATTATCATGCTACAAAAAGCCTGGATCATTAGGGACCTCTTTTTCTGGTTGATTTCATAGGCTTTTCTACCAATAGCTTGTGCTCACTGCAGGAAGCCAGACTGGAAGATGACAGCAAGATGTTATCCTCTGACAGCTGTTCTACTCATTTTCAGTGACTCTCACAAAAAATACCCTATAGTAGCATGATTTATCCCCAAAATGTGACTTCATTAATGCAGCCACCTGACCAGGGTGTCCTTAGATTCATGGGGAATAAACATTAAAATTGTTAACTGAACAGTGTCCTAGCAGAAGTAAAAAAGAGACTTGGGTGTGTAAGACTTTCAGAAGGAGCCTAACTGTATTTGCCAACCCAAGGAGAGGGTGTCTAAAAGCCCAGCCATGCACATATGTCATTGCCTTTGCCCTGTGACTGTGTGGTGGTGGTGAACAAGGTGGTGCTTTTGAACGACTCCAAATGACAAGTGAGAAGACAATGATGTTGGACTATTCACAAATGCAAAAAGATATACCTTAAAAGTCCTCAAAGAAGTCATTTTTATGTTAACCATGAGGCTGTTGTTGCTCACTCATTAGCTGGTTGTGACACACTTGGAATGGTTCTGAATTGGGATGGCTGTGAAAACAGTGATGGGAATGACCTTGCACGCACCCCGGGAAGCTGCCCCTAGACAATATGATGAAGTTTCTGTTGAAGGACTAGAGCAATGTGCATTCATGACTGCACAAGAAGTCATGTCAGTTTATAAAATCAAGGAGAGACAGATGCTAAAATGAAAACCATTGCTCATGAGGAAGATTGGAGGAAACTTTGTAGAAAGCCATCCAACAAAATGCTTCCTCATGGCTATAGGACTTTCAGGTCCCTCAGCTGGTTTGATGCTTATGCTCACATAAAACTAAGTAAAACAAGTAAAACACACAAGTAAAACAAAATAAAATCCCATGCATAGTAACCTTTATATCACAGCTCAGCATCTCAGGTGAAGACTGAAAGCTGTGGTTGACAGGTCACATGGGAGTCACTGTATTAATGGTATCTCATGCTTCTCACTGTATGAAACAAATATTAAAAATAATTGTTACTGGTAGCATATCAGTGCAAAATCAGGGAGGATGGTGATGCTAGTACGTTTATATCCACATCAGAATCTAAAATAGTGACGTGTTTGATTTCTGAGGGATCAGTGAATACAAACTTTGTTTCATGCACAAAATATGTATGTATTATATGTATATTTGTATGTACATATGATACAAAGTATGTATATGTAATACAAATTTATAAAGAAATTTTAGTGTTTAGAGTTGTGTCTCTGTGCCAAGATAGCTTATTGCAAATGTATAAATATTCCAGAATCTGAAAGAAAAAAAATATACTTCTGGTTTCAAGCTTCCTGCATAAGAAATACTCAAGCTTCACTGAAGGTGCAAAGGTAAAAATTCTAGAGCAAATAGTGAAAATTGTAGTGCACAAAAGCACTGTTTTAGGAGAGAGCTAAAACACACACACACACACACACACACACACACACACACACACACACAGTAGGGTTACCTGGCAATCACAAGAAATTCTGGAACACCTCTGATGGAATTAGGATTATAAACGGGCAAACAAAAAGATAAGGGGTGCCAAATCTGAGCTGCTCCTTTTGTTTTTATTTTGTCCAAAAGCTACCCTTGGCCGGGCTGAAAAACTTTGCTGAGGCTATAGTGCAAACCCATGTGAGTGTTTCACCTGTACACGCTGCATAGGAGCACTGTGCCCCACGCCAGTCACTGCAGTAGGTGCAGCCTTGCAACTTGAGCAGGGAGAAGGGGAGCAAACAAGGACACTGCTTCCCAGTTGAATTCTGATTACTGCTACCGAAGCTTCTGGCACAGCTCATTTTTGTCCACAAATTGTCAAAGAGGTCCGGTGCACACTGTCGATTCTAGTAGCTGGGTCCTTCAGGCACTGCAGGGAAAGTAAAAACCAGGAGAATCAAGAAAAGTAAAAGGAGCCAGAATAAGGACCCCAGGGTAGATTTTGTTACAGCGGAGCATACATGATATGTGATGCAGATTCAGGTCTCTTAGATTAGATCCTGGGAACAGGGTCAGGTGCCCAGTCTGGGTATTTGAGATGAGGCATTCTCAGGAGCTCCCCTTACATACCAAGGCAGATTCAATCGCTTTGGGAAAAATGCCCTTGATTTGCTGTGGATGATGGTTTGATTTTATCTTTTCCCCTCCTGTGTAGAAAATTTTGCTGGTTTTAAGTGGGAATCCAGGATTCTCAGATGTTGGGACATCCTCCTGTGAAAATAATCCACCTTCACCAAGCAATGCATGCGAGGAGCTGGCAGAAATGAGGCCCAAACCAAGGGACAAACAAGCCAGATCTCCTTAAGTATCATGTGTTGTTTTCAAAATACTCAAGAATCCCCATCTGGGAAACAGAAGGCTGTCAGAGACTTTCTTGAGGTTGATTTGAATGCTTAAATAGGAACATCTCTATCTTTATGATCTCATTAAAAAGCTTTTTCTTCCTTTACCTAAAATTTATACAGACTGCCTTTCTTAAGTGGAATATTAACCCCTCAAAAACATCCAAAATTATCAGAAGAGATTATATAATAAAGAATTTCTTAAAATACATATATCTTAAAGTATACTATCTTCTGTAGGAAGGGGTTGAAAACTGATTTTCAGAACCGTATCTCTCTGTCTCTGAGGTCTTTTGTGTCTGTCTCTTTTGCCCTCTTTTATTCATTTTGCTCCAGAAAATAATGAATTTTACATTGTATATTCATATATATTCAAAAATCAAAGAGAGGGCCGGGGATATAACTCAGTGGCATAAGTGCCTGCCTGGAAAACACAAGGTCCTGAGTTTCATTGCTGATAAAAATTTCATATATATTTTTTATATATAAAAATATAACAAAGCTCAAAGAGTACTTGAATGGTGTTGTCCAAGTTTTACAAAAAATATGTAGACTGCATTTTGGTGCAAGGAAGAACCATCACTTTAAATTATTCAATGAAAGCAGATTTTTGCAGATGGAGAACAGTAAAGACTTATCTGTTTTATCTGCCTTTGTCCTCCAGGATGGATGAAGTCTTGGAAGCAATAACACACACACACACACACACACACACACACACACACACACACACACACACAAGCACCATTTTGTCTAACACATCACAAAAAAAAAAACACAAAAAGAAAAATTTATTTTTAAATAAGAGAGGTTTTTTCCATAGGAAAAAAAATGAGGGTTTATTGTAAGAAAATAGCCAAGAGTCAGATAGAAACTCCTCTAGAAGAGAGATTCTACTTGCCTACTGCTACACATGTCCGCCTGTCTCACAAACACACATCTTGGATTCTGGACGCAGGGTGCAGAAAATCAGTGGACTTGTGTAGATGTCTAATAGGATGGGACAGAAAGGAAGAACTATGATGTGATAAATATTTCAGAAGGAAGAACAGATTTCTTAGCCATCATTGAGAGATGGCAGGGAGAAGAAAGTATAAGGCTCAAGATCTTGTTAGGGAATTTGCAAATGAATTTCAGATCCCAAAGGAGGGAAGATGTCCTCATGTCTGATTTAAGTTGAAAACACATAGACAAAAGGTACTAGATGAATAGTTTTGGATAGTCACATATAGACTCAAACCACCTGATAGGAGATAACATGTGCTGTGTAAAACCTACATTTAACCAAAACATTGGCAGTTCTGAAAGGAATGCGTGTGACCTCTAAGATGCTTGGATGTGGTGTCTTCAGCCTGCCTCTCCTTCGCTGGATACTGATGAGCATAATTGCATATACTTGTTGCCTTCATAGTACCTTCCATTGTGAAGTGCTCCTCAGTAAGGTCAGCATTAATAGAGATTTCCAAATCTTTTAACCATGTTTCTGCACATATCAATGGTTCTTTGAAGTTAAAGCATCTTTGTTCCACTGTTTATTTGTAAAATATTCTTTTATTTTGCTTTCTAATAGTTTTACAATTTTTACCTACTTATGATTTTTTTCTATATATTTATTCCTTAAACTTCTTATGCTTCTTAAATTTATCACTTAGTATATTTTTAACAGGTTTCAAAAAATTACTCCTTTACTTGCATTGCTACTGTTCCATTCTCTCTCCTTTTTCCGCAGATTCCACATACACACATGTTGGGCCTCTTACGATGTCTTCCACATTCGTTATGCTCTTTTCCATATTTTTCACTCCTTTGCTTTTCAATGCTAAACATTAGAAACTTTTTCACATCAATATTTCTATTTATAAATTATTTTTTGTTTGTATATAACCCAGTATTAAAAACAACTATTTCATAATTTGTCTTACTTCTTGTTAGTCCTAAAGTTTTTGTTTGATCTTCAATTTCCAGTTGTCTGATGAAATTTTTATTCTTGTTTAATTTTTTGGCCTGTGAATGAAAGGTAATAATGCCACAGTCTGACTTATCTTTAGATGTATTTCTGTTTACTTTTAAAGTTTTGATCAATTCCAATTTTTTTCTGATTGAATACAAAATTTGTTTATGAAATGTTTAACAAAAAATTTAATATTCTGTTTTAAATTATATATGTCACAGAAAAGTGCATAGTCTTTCTCTTCCAACCCTTGGGAAAATCTGTTAGTTATATGTTGGTTTAATGCAAGTATGTTAGTGTGTGTGAGCATCTGACAATCAGAAAAGTGACTTGGTTCTAAATTAGATGTAATATTAAGTAGGGACACATGAGAATGAATCAATGTACATTGGTCATTGGTATAAGAAACAGAAATAGGTGTTGGAGACACAGCACAATGACACAGTGCCTAACTGGCAGGCAAAAGTCCTGAGCTCTATTCATGAGGGGAAAAAAAAGGAAGAAACAAATAAAACAGAAACAATGGTGTGTGGGTGCCTGTAGAGAGAATCTTTGAAGGAACAGTCCAGTGTGCAAAAAATTAGCATGTCTAAAATCTTAGGGAAGCCAGCTAAAGACCCAGGGAGGCATTCCTAATTCCCTGGGAGTGTGGAGGCAGACTTTCCTCCAGTTTAGGGGACCTCAAGGATTTCTTTTAAGGCCTTCACTGGATTGAACGAGGCCTATCACATCATTGAGGATAATATGCTTTACTCGAAGTCTACCAATTTTAGTGTCAGTATCATCTAACAAAATTTATCTTCACAGAAATATCTAGCTGGTGTTTGACCAAATATCTTGATACTATTCCCAAACTGAAGCCTAAAATTAACCATCCTCCATGGCCCTTCAGTCAAGACCAAGCCACACTTAGCTAGGAAAATATTTCCCTGCTCCACAGGAAATCACTGGCTTTTCCACAAGCAGTCTCAGGGCGCATGGCAATGTTTATGTATCTTAAGAGCACAGAAACTGATACTGAATTATGTTTATTATCATGTACAGTTTATGTGCATTTGAATATTTTGTTAGTTACTATGGATCTAGTAAGACACACACTTAAACACTATAGTTAATACTGTGGTACTTCGTCAGAATCCCTTGAAGCCCATGGGCACAATTCCCAAGTTTATTGGAAACCCTGCTCCTCATTCTCCCAGTTGTCTACCTCAGCACTGCCCTGCTCAAGTTTATGATCTCTCTGGAGAGTCAGCCTGTGACTGATCACCAGCCCAACTGCCTCACTGTAGTTTGGAAAACTTCAGCTCCAAGTTCAAAGTTCCTCAGAGAACTCCTCACACTTGGAGCCACATCATAGCTCAGAATTCTTTCTATTGTTCAGCTCTCTCCCTGGTCTCCTTATGGTTCTATTTTTCCAGAGCACTTCCCTACCAATACAATGCACACATCTTAGGTGTGTATCCCAGGGAAACAGAGATGTGCATATAAAATGATTCTTGCTTCATTTTTGCTGCAATAATACCTGCAAGGAAATGAGAGCATGAAAAATGTTGACTGTGATGGAAATCCTACAATTTGGAACTGTAGCAGCTTTTCAGAGTGATCCTGAATAGAAGTTAAGGTTCTGAGGACTTGGTGTCTCTACTCAGAGCAGTCACCCAATGCAGTCTGCTCCTAATGAGGGCCCTACCTTTAGGTGGTATGACTCTTTCTCAAAACAGGGAAATCCCAGAAAGAGATTCTATTTGTGCCACTGTCGGACAACACTCTGGATAATCAGAGGGATATGTACTTGGTCCCAAGGGAAGATAGAGATAGCACACTGGAGGGTTCGCTATACCACTCAACTCTCTGTCTCTAATTTCATTTCCTGATACCGAGAGTGGAGCCAGGATGCAGATGTAATTTTGGACAAGGCCATGGGTGACAGATGCCTGCCACTTTTGCATACAAAACACTGTTATGCAGCAGCAGCCAACTCTTTAAACTTTCACCACCACAAAACTTTCACTGAGAGGGAATACTAATAGGAAGAGATGTGCTGGCCACTGAAATACATCCACTGAGAATGAAATCATAAATACAAGGATTTGGGAGGTTAGTAGCTGTTGCTAAGCACCAATAATTTGTTAAAAGAGAGAATGTCAAGCTTGGGGAGATTAATTACTAATTCAGACAAAATATGAAAGCCAAAGAATTTCCTTGATATCATTTCCCTATAGCTAGAAGGCAAATAGAGCCGAGAACTAGGCTCAGGATTTAATTTTAAGAGTAATAAAGTTTCAGAGATAGTTTTCAGCCCTGCCAGGTCCTATATGCAAATGTGAGTGCATGAACAGGGGATTAGAAAGATTTTGAAATTTGGGATTAGAATACCTGAGACTACACAGTTCACGATTTTGAACATCTACATTCTTTTTAACCTTCCTGTCCCTCTTAGGTATCTCCGTTCTTTACTTTTAAGTCATGCAGGAGCTGCAGAAGAGGTAAGTGTTTTAGAATTTAATGTCCATTCCACTGCCTTGGATTCTAAATGTGCAGAATTATAAGATGCCGAACATGAAGTGGAAGAACGTTAAAGTTCTTGGACATGGACTCCTCATAAGATCCAAGATGAATCAGCCCAAGGGGAACCTAGAGATACTGTCAATGTACTGGCAGGATAAATGGTGGAAAACTTGGAAAAGCAGTAGCCCACAGGAAATGAAATGGAAACATAGAGTTGTCAATGCAGATTATAAGTAAATAGGAGCTCTCTCTTAGCTGCTCCTGGATGGTACAACCAATGTGGCAGACAAAATGGCCTGTATGAGCAGACAGGTAAGAGCTCCCATCCACCATGAGCAACCTGGCCAATGCCTCTGCCAGGGGCCAACCTGTGAGCTACAGAGACTGATGTAAGGGCTCATGAAGGCATCATTATTTGAGGAGAATGAGCAGGTAGATTGTGACAAGTTTAGGCACAAAACTATTCCTTGGAAAGGGAAGTGATTCATTTTGACCAAAGTCAAACTAGGTTCCAGATATAAATTTTTCTTTACATATGGAGTGTTTGGGCCACCAAAAAGGGACCAATTTGACGACAAAGAAGACCATGTCTCTGAGAACACATGAGTCTACTTCGCATCAAAACACTCAAAAGCTACGGATGCAATAGGATGCGAGGTTGCCTCTTACAGATACAAACAAGTGTTCAGCTTGAAGGTAATGATGACAGAAAGAGGGCACCATCTCTCAGTACGTGGCACTCACCATAAATTCCCACATACTATATAGTGCTATGTTCCTGGTAGACTGAGAACGTTTGTTCAGGAAGCAAGTGGGGTTGCTTTCTTTACTCCCAATGATTTAGAAAAGAGATCTGTGCTGTCTGTTTCCTCACTTTTGGTTCTGCAGCTCCAGAGATTATGATTCCCTGAGGAAGAATATTTGTTCTCCAGGGCACAGCAGCAGTCCTATAAATTCAAGTCCAGCAGATTCTGGGTTATTTTAGATTCCTACAGAAGGACCAGCAGGGAGAAAAGGAGTCCTGAGCTAGCAGGAGTCATTTACCCTCACTAGCAGGAGGAGGTAAGGCTGCTTCAGCCAAGAAAGAGCAAAGTGGGTAGCTCAGGCAGGTATCTTGCTGGGGCTTCTCTTGGTGCTCCTGTCCACACTTAGCTAGGAAGGTAGCACATTCATAGCCTGAGGTGGACATGAAAACCAGGACTCAAATCTCTCGAGAATGAAGGTCTAGGTCACCTTACCAGGCAAGATGGCCTGATCATGGTGATGCTACCTGAGAAGAAAACCTAGGCAGCAGAGGAAGAGCTAAAATTATCACCCAAACCTGGAGACTTACATACAACATTTTTCTAGTAAGGTTTTCCGGAACACAAGACCGGGAGGAATCTGGAGGTCTGCTTATATAGATCAAACACTGAAGCACAAGAATATTTTTGCAGTGCAGAATGGATCATACTGGCACAGTGGTGGCAGGATCATCAGTACTGGTAGCCAACTCCCAAGGCCCTCAGAGCATCTGCTGTTCTGCCCAGGAAGCTGCCTATTCAGGTTACACTCCTTCCCACCTTGTAGGAACCGGCTAATGATCTTCTGATTGGGGATTCAAAAGCTAACTTCCTTTTTTCAATGCAGGGTAACTTCAAAGACCCCATGCCTTTTTCTGTATTCAGCTAAGGCCTATTATAACTATGCAAATCAGCTTCTTCCTCTCTCTAATTCTCTTGGTTCATCTCCAAAGAGCCCTTTCCAGAAAACCTTCTGCAAAGCAACCAGTCATTTCCAGGAAACCCAACTAACACACAGACACACGTGGAACCAGGGCACCAGCTAGGCTGCCTCTGTCCCCGTGGCTCAGTGCCAAGGAGGGGAAAAGCTGATGTCTAGATTCCTTATCTGCAAAAACAACACGAGGCTTGTCCTGATAAACTTGGGTTTCTGTCCACAAAACACTAAGTCTAGACACTTTACTGATCATAATGTTCATAAACTAATGGTTTTGTCTAACAGAAAATTTGATATGATATGTTGTGTGATTCATAAAATAGTTTCCTAACTCTAGGGATTGATCTAATCTATGTGTATTAGCTGACAAGCTCAGTAGAGAAATAATATTTATAGCTTATAATAAGGCCATAGCAAGCATTTAAAAGCACAAAAGAATACACTTCATCCTTAATTGAAATTTCTTAGAATACCAGGCTCACAGTGGCAACTGCATTCTGTAAAGACTAGAAATTTTCTTATATTACTAATTAGGAACTTTTACTAGATACCTCTTGAACATAACTAGTACGCCTTCCCCATTCTTCAATTCATTTCTGTTTATTCATTTTGTGAAGGCTGCTATTCGAAGATCTTTTCCAAACACTAATTGTATTTATTCTCATTTTTTAAAAACTGTGTTTTCCCCTCCCTTCACCCCCTCCCCCGTGGGATGCTAAAGTTTAAAGATAACCTATATGATTTCACTGATCTTTCTGTCTTTTGCAAGAACTCTCAAATTAATGATTTTCTTTGGGTTTGTTAAAAAATTTGCAAACTTCTAATCCTGCCAGTTAATGTGACTTCTGCTAATATTGTACACACAAGCTTCAAATATACCCTTGCCTTAGCGACCAGCATGGTACTGAATGTTTAACACTACCCAGTTGAAATTAATTGCATGGATAGACTGGCATAAACAAATTATTTTGGGGGGAAATAATCACTTAATGATGAGAATGAATGATGGTCCCTTGGGAGGCTGAGGCAGGAGGATCCCAAGTTTGAGTTCAACCAGGGCAACTTAGTGAAAGCCCAGCTTAAAGTAAAAAGTGAAAGAACTTGGGATGTATTTCAGTGGGAAACCCCTGGGTTCAATTCCCAGTACTGAAAAAAGCCCACCAAAACTATGCTGGCTTAGTAAGACCATAGTCAGGGCCACTGTAGTGTTCTTTCAGGAAACTCTAATGCAAAGTTGTGAAGCTGTCCGGGCGTGGTGGCGCACTCCTGTAATCCCAACACTCAGGAGGCCTGACACAGTTGCAAGTGGGCTACAAAGTGAGCCCAAGGTCAGCCTGAACTGTGTAGTGAGACCCTGTCTCAAAAAGACAAAAAAAAAAAAAAAAAAAAAAAAAAAAAAGTTGTGAAGCTGCCTACTCATCATCTAAAAATATCTAACAACTTCTGCAGGAAAATTTAAATTGCTCCATAGATACAGGATGTTATTTTGAAAACAAGAAAACAAGCACCAACATTTTGTTATAACCTGCAGTGTTAAATTCCTAGCCTAATCATTTCATTTAATCCTGGTAGATCTTGACATTGGGAGGCAAATTGCTAGGATGTGACCAGCAGGAAGAGGAGCATCTGGACCACCTCTCCCATTCCATACCACTGACCAGTCAAGCCCAGGACCATGGCCCTGTCCCACTCATCCTCAATGAGATTCTGAGTGTCACTTCTGGCCAAATCTGGTATCTCTCACTGTTCTTGCAAACTCTTACAAATCTATCCAGCATCTCACAGACATAAGCATCCTGAAACTCCACTGGTGAGCATTCTGCATTGGTTTCCTGATGCCCCAAAGGCCAATCCTATTTTAATAACATGTGGACTCTGCCTCTTTTCTCAGACTTATCTTCAATTCATTTGTTAACCCAAACTGCCCTGCACACAGGTCTATTCAAGCTGCACTAACCTTGTTGTCCAATTGTTAAGCACCCTTCCTCTCTTATGTGTTCAGCCATTGTCTCTGCTCTGTGAAATATATGTGTTTCCATCTTTTTCCCCAGTGGAACTGCTCCCTAGAGTCTCCCTTAGACACATCTCTGTTAACATACCTCAACAATAAGTTGATCTGATTTCTTTGTTCTTCTGCAAACCTGCTGGGGACAGGTCTGTTGTGGTGTCCCCAGAGCCTAGAACAAGTAGCTTGTGCATTTCTCAGTGCACGGAGATATCACATCCTCTTTTCCTCCTGAAGCAGGAGAGAATTGATTTGGAAAATTTTTATTAGAGCTCAGAAAATTTAAAGAAATTCTGGTGAGAAGAAACTCTTGTTACTATAATTTTTTTCACTATAGCAATATCCAACAATTTCTATTATTAGAAAGTGATTCCAAATTGCTAGAATTCAAAAAATCTAAATTTCATAAATAATATTCTTGGCAAATCCTTGTTATTCTTAGTACAAAATCAGTTCCCACAAATTCTAGCATCATTTGAGTAGAATGTAACTGGCTATCTATTTTCTTGGAGTTGGATATATAAATTGTTTTAATTTTAGAAAAGATAGCCAACAGGAAATAGTCATGAAATAAGAATGAGACCTTTCACTTCAGTCTGTAGAGGCCTCTCTCCACAGAGAGAAAATGAGAGAATAACATAGAAAAACATTCTGCCTCAAATGCGAAGTAATAAAAATAAAAGAGAAGGAGAAGAATTTGTTTTATTGAGAGACCTAAAGGCAATGAAAAATCATTACCTTCTAACAAGCCAGTCTCCTGGGGTCTTTGGGAGGTAACAATTGAATGTAGCCATACACAGCTATGTTGTCTGTTATTAACCTGGCTTTCCCACACAGAAGTGTCTCATTTAGCTCATAAAATGAAGCTAAAAATCTATTAATAAAATTGTGTATCCATCATAAAATTCTTTATAAACATTCTTGCTCAAATTCATATCCATTAGAAGAAATTTATATATAAATTATTATTTCCTACTATTGAAGGTATTTCAAAAGGATTATAACTCATCATATGAATTATAATAATTAATTTTCAAATAAAAATAACAATAATGTTCTGTGTAAAAGCTTTAGGTGCTAAATTAAGTTATTCTGAATATAATGATGAAAGTATGCCAGCCTAGGAAATGTGAAAGATACATGTTACAGCTACTGAGATAGATGACTACCTCATGTAAAGAGACTTTTACTTTTTATTATTTGTTCCGCACTTGGGTTTTTCCAGGACCTCATTTTTGTCAGACAAATGGTCTATCACAAAGTTGCACCCATAGACATAAGATTTTTAATATTTAAGAAAAAGATCTAGAAACCTCCCACATTTGGCAGAATTTAAAGCAGAAGCTGACCTGATCCTGCTGAAGCTACTTCTGAATCACTGCTGAGACAGCACAGAACTTGCCGAACATTGGTCTGCCCCTGCCATGGCGACTTGGCGCATCCCAGAGTGCACACCAGCTTCCACCTCCTAATGGGCTGCTTCTTTCCTACTATTTATGGAAAAGCAACACAAGGAAAACACTGTGTAGACCTTGAAGCTCGCCATCCTGAAGCTGAAAGTCAAAGCAGAGATAATTTCTGTACGTCTCCTTCCCCTGAAATCTGCTCTAATGCAGTTGAGCTCTTACAGGTCCCAAGAACCCTTGACTCTGAGAGTGTTCCAGACCTGGGTGACCCCTTCTGCCCAAACCCTGATGGGGCACTCAACTGTAAACAGGAAAGTGGGGGTTGCTTTCACTTTTCACTCCTTCCCTGAAACTCCTTATTTAACAACTTTTGATGCTGTTTCATATAAAGAAAAGAGCTTGAGGGGCAAGGAAAAGAAGCTGATACTCCACTATTTTTCACCTCATTTTTTCACATGCTGTCAAAATTTTCATGGTAAGAGTGGCTCTTCATGACCGCTCTTAGGGTTATGCCTTTCATCCCTTCCAAGACCTTCCTGGATGCTTAACATGGAGGACCTAAGAACTGTACCTAAGAAGAGAGACATATTAATTCTAAATTTTAATTAAATATATTTCCCCCTTTGACTAAAGTGTGCCTGGAACATGGAGAACAATGTAAATATTCCAGGCAATATTTCAGGTGAGAATTTTGAAACAGTAAACACAATTGGTCCTACTGGGTGTGTGATAATGACACATAAACACCACTCAGTTAGGTAGAACTATGGTTTGAATGGGTCCCCCAGTGTTCGTAAGACAGACAGAGGACTCCCAAAGCTGTAATGGTGAAAGATGGAAACTTTTAAGAGGTGGCTGGCCAAGAGGACTGTGAGTTCACAAGTGAATTAATGCTGTAATCACAAGAGTGGGTTGCTTATCACCGGGGTGCAGTGCTATCATAGGAATGGGCTCCTGAAAGAAAATGAGTTGTGTCACCTTCTCTTTTCTCTTATATGCCTTCTCTCCTACTTGTGTCTCCACCATGTGATGACACAGTGAGAGTGACATCACCAGGGCAGGATAGATTAGATACCTTGAGATTAGACACACAAGACTTGGGAAGTGTAAGTAATACATCTCCATTCTTCATAAATTACCAAGTCTTGAATATTTTTGTAGTAATGACACACAAAAAAGGCAGGCATGCTTTAGCCAAAGGGGGAAATAATATTTAATTAAAATTTAGAATTAATATGTCCCTGTTTTTAGGTAAATTCCTAATCATATTTTAAATATATGTGCTATTATCAAATATCTATCAGATATCATCATATTGGCACTCTTCCATTTACTGAAAAATAGTTGTATCCTTAACATATTCATTTTTTTTGTTGTTTTGGGACCAGGGATTGAGCTCATGACCTTGCTTTTGCCAGGCTGTCTCTTACGATGCTGAGATAAATCCCTGGCCCCTTTTTTCAAAAAAAAATTTTTTTTGGTCCTGAACATGTTAAAAACAAATATTTGAAAGTAAGAATAAAATTTTCTTTGCAAAATAAAAACATATATCAAAGCCTAAGACATGTACTATAAAACATTCTAAATGATGCTGTCACTCAGGACCATGTAGTTTTGTTTTGTTTTTGGTTTTTGGTTTTTGCTCTTTGTCTTCAGTAAGTGTGAGAAAATCAACTGTGTCTGCAATTGCTTTGTGAATTTTGTTATTCTCTTTTGAGATTCATAAGTAATTATTTTGGAAAGGTTTCAAATAAATATTTAAGTTGATTATTCTTATCTCCATGGTACATTACATTTAAAAAGCAGCAGGCTGCCAAGTCACGAGTTCCAGTGAGTTCACTCCAAAGAACCGAGCATTCCGGGCTGCGTGTTGTAAACATTAACAGAGTTGCTCTGGACAATGAGCTGTCCTAACAGAAATGACCTGAATTGTCCAGTACACAATTTCTTAGAATAACAGCCTGTCTTGCAACCTGTTTGCAGGAAATCACTGCTTGCATAAACAATAAAAATACAGACTACCTCTTAATGATGCAGAATACTAAAGTTGTGGGGAAAATATATTTTATTTAAAGAACTTAAGGCCTAGAAGCAGAAGATGTAATTTAGTAATGTATATATTTTAATAATAGAATGTATAATTTTAGCATCATCTTTATGTATGATAAGTTGGGTCAAGGATCAATCTTAAGCATAAAGAATATTTGATTTTGAAATTATGTTGAGTTTTCTTTGTTAAAACTCTTTTCTATTCCCTTGCAATACAATTACTACAAATTGACCGCACTTAGAGGCAAACTAAGGCATTGTTCCTTACTAAAAACCTCATTCCCACTCCTAGTCCTTGAGTTATTCAAGCTTAATAAAGACACCAAACTTCCTGAAGACTACTTTTCCTTAACATGTGTTCCAAGTTAGCTCGTAGAATGTGCTGTTTCAAGAAATAATCTGTCTGTTGCTCTGATTCTTCTCCCACTGCACACCCCTAAGCCTGGGCTCTCAGCTTGCATCTCTGTGGGACCTTGCTTACCCACACATGGTGACTGCAATTGCCCTCTGTTACAATCCTCATTCCCCAATCTATTATTCATCCTCCATCTACCCTGCTCACTGATCCCAAAGTATTGTTTCTCCCCTTTGCTTGTTCTTATTTCGTATCTAAATAATAACCAAAACATCAATTTACCTGCTAAATGTCCTCTAGCTAATTGTATTTACACACTTCCTATGACATGTAATTTACACATGTAAAATGCTCATACTAGTCAATGTTACTTAATATATTTACAAAATCGGAAACCATTGCCGTAATTTCTGAAAGCGTTTCATTACTCCAAAAAGAAACACATGCCCAATAGCTGTCATTCCCATTTATCACCTACTCTTCAGCAGCAGGCAAACACTATTCCACTTTTTGTCTCTACTAAAGTGTTTATTAAGTATTGTATATAAATAGAATACAATATGTAATCTGTTGAGATTAATTTTTTTCATTCAGCACATTTCCAAAATTCATCTGGGTTGTAGCAAGTAGAAACTTCATTTTTTATTGCTTAATAATATTCTACTGTATAAATATTTGTCCATTCATCAGCTGCTGGCAATGTATACTCTATCCACTTTTTTGGGAGACTATCATTATAAACGTTCTTGTACAAATTTGTGCGCAGACATTTGTTCTTGTTTCTTTTGAATGTACACCTACTTAAGTCTGCTGAGTCATGCTCTGAATCTATCTTTAACCTTTGGAGAAACAGCTGAAGTATTTTCCTAGGAACTGTACCACTTTACACTTCTAGCCATCTATAAATGATTCAGTCTCTAAATCCTTGCCAGCATGTGTGTTTAGTGATCCTGTGAATATCTGATTTCAGCCAACTCTTGTGATTATCTGATTTTACTAAAGTAAACATGAAGTGGCATCTTCCTGGGATTTCTGATGTTTTTTTTTTTTTTTTTTGATGATTAATGACATCCAACATGTTTTCAGCTTGCTTCTTATTGATCATGGTAAACCTTCTTTGTATGTGTATATCCTATTTTTATATTTGTCCATTTGACATTTTTGATAAAATTTTAAGAGTTCTTTCTATATTTGTACAAGTCTTGTACATATGCATTGGAAATATCATCTCCCACTTGGTGGGCTGTCTTTCTTACTGTCTTGATGAGGGCCTATGAAGCACAAATCTAGAGATTTTGATGGCCTGATTCATCTTTTCTTTTTCTGTGCTTTTGTTGTCATATCTAAGTTAACTACGGATGAGCCAAGATTGTGAACAGTTGTGATGTTTTGTTTCTGAGGAGTTTTATTCTGTTATTTCTTATATGGAGGGCTGTGATTGATCTTGAGTTTTATTTTGTATATATTGTTAGTTTCAAACACTCAAAATTTTCTTCTCATTGCCAATCAAATAGTCACTTCAGCTCTCCAGCCCAGGCACATTGCTGGCCTGGATGGTTACATGAATCTCCTTGCTGTCTGCTTTACCTTCAGTCTGGGGCATTCCTAATACTGTGCTCTGAAACAAGAGGCCTTTAGAAAATAAGCACCTAACTACATCACTTCTCATAAAGATGTGCATGAGCATATTTTCAATCAGGCAGAGGAGTCTCAGGCCTTAGACATATAAAATTAAAAGAGAAGAACCCTACTTACATATATCTTATGGTTCCTTTTGTACCTATCAAGTTGTTTAAATGTTGATATGCAAGTATTCAAGATTTCAGAATAAAAAATAAAATTCATTTTCTAAACTATAAGAAAGTTGAGAGGAACTTTTTAAATTGTTTTTATTTATCTATGTATTGAAAAACTATATGAAATTATTTTCAGAAACTAACATATCAATAACTTAGAATATGCACAACTACATAGATACATATGAATAAAGAATACAATAAACTTGTGAATTTTTTCTTTATATTTATAGACCAAAAATTACAAAATAAATGTGTCATGTGAAAAAAATGAGAGTTGTTTTTGTCTTTTGAGCAGAATAGTATCACCTTTGTATCTACATGCTTAAGTTTTAGTCTTTATTAATATTAGGCCACAGATAAATTGATCTCAGGTAAATTAAAATGTGATCCTGATGGCAAAATATATTTAATTAGAACAAAGGGTAATTATTGGAAGTGTCAAATATTGTGGTTGAGTTGAACATCTCAATTAAAAATTGGATAGGGTCAGGTATGGTGGCACACACCTGTAATCCCAGTACTCGAGAGGCTAAGGCTGGAGGATCACTGTGAGTCTGAGGTCAGCCTGGGTTACATAAACAAGTTCAAGGCTAGTCTTGACTATATAGTAAGACACTGTCTCAAAAAACAAACAAACAAAAAATGGGGAATTAAACTTATGTATATAAATCCAATATAAACTTATAAAAGTTTAAAAGACATTTTATAAAATCAGAAAGAAATATGGATCTATCACTGTTTCACCTTGTTTCATGTCTTTAGCCATTCATTAAAATGTGACTTGAGCCTTTTGTCATACCCTAAAGAGATTATACTACATAATCCATGAATAAACTTAAATACTCTATTTTCATAGTACTTAAATCTTGCTTCTCATCCAAGAAGTGACTGCAAGATTTACATGTTGACTTGATACACAAGACATTCTTACTGTAAGTCACAGACATGCAAGACTGCTATGGAATAGAAGAAAAAGATGAATTTTTGAA